CTGTACACCTGATGCCACCATGCCCACTAAACCATGTCTTGAAGCACCATATCTAAACGTTTTTTGAACACCTCCAGGGACGGTGACTCCACCACCTCCCTGGGAAGCCCGTTCCAATGCCTAATGACTCTAACAGTGAAGAAGTTCTTCCTAATATCCAACCTGAACCTCCCCTGGCACAACTTGAGGCCGTTTCATCTTGCCCTAAACATGTCCAGACTTGGCTGGACCCCGTAAAGCTTTCTCTTGTCCCGTCCTCCCGACCCCACTACATCTAGGTTTGCTCCCTAGCCTTGGTACAGGCTCTTACTGAGTTTTCCACGCAGCGGCTCTTCACAGCAACCCATGGTGGAAAGGAGGAGTTCGGCACAGCCACAGCGGAGATCGGGCTGGAGACAAACCTGGGCAAACACAACGGGACCGCGTGTTCTTGCAGAAACAAACCACCAGCCACATTTCTGTCCCCTTCAGTGCTCGCATACGTCGAGCTCTTGGGTGCTCACGGCCTGATTAGCTGGAGACCCAAGAAAAGCTGAGGCCACGCACGGTGTTCGGCCACCCCGTGTCCAGGGGAAATGGGACCAAGAAGGGTTTCTCTAGGGACTTCTGTCTAACGAAGAGAGGCAGCAGGGACCGGCCGTACCTGAGCAAAGTGACATTATACTTGGATGAGCAAAGACTGTCTTTTTAATGTAGGTGCTAACACTCTTGGACACTCTCGGGTTGCCACCACAACAGTTTACAATGGGTTTGTTCAACTTGTTCCTAGTCACTTTAACATTGCTCGAAGTAAGCTTCTCCTTTTTGAAAACAAGCACCCACACTACCTCTGGCTCCTGTTCAGCTTCAAGTCTCACGTTGTAATGTCACCCCCCTCCTCAGGCAGGCAAGCCCACAGTCCGCATTACAAGATCTCAGTGGCATTTGCCCAATCCCCAATCAAGTGGCCACCGCCTTTTCCTTTGTTTTAACCCAACCCTGCCACAGGACCTGGTACTGTCACCCAGCCTCCTTTAGATCTCAGCACCTGAGGGCACACAGTGAACGTAGCCTTCTCTCCTTATAAAACACCATTTGAACTCCAGCAATACTGGCTAAGATGATAAAAGAGACCAGAGAGATCTGTATGGGAACCACCTCAGATTTTTTTTTGCGCTCTAAGTATGCAGCCCCAGGGAGGAAGATGATCACAAGCCCTGTGCCTCCCTCTACTTTCCTCTTGAAGGGAGCACAGACCTCAGCTGGCGTTCTGCGGTGCTCACACGAGTCAGAACTTACACAAGAGTCTAACAACTAGAGTTAGCATTTCTTTCCTTTTTCCTTTCTAATTTTTTCTCTTCCCTAAGAACTCACTCAGCTGTCTTAAACCCTCCCTATACTCCCTTGAGTGTTTTTTATTCCCTTGTTCTTTCCACAGTTCCTGCGCTGGTACAAGCATTTGTGTATTTATTGATACCTTCTCCTAAACTCCTACGTGTATGAGAAATAGAAGTTGAAGCTGGATAATCTGCCTAGCAACAAATTCATTAGGCTGCTGCATTGGGGAAATCTAGCTAGGATCATTGATCTTTGCACAGTCAGATCCAGCGATACCGAAACCTGGGGAGGAATGCTCTCTTCCACCGTACGCAGTCCGATTGCATTATCTGCGTTACTTTGTAGACTGAGCCTTATGGGCGAGTGAAGGAAGCCAACAAGCAGAGAACTTCAGGGATAAGACACCAGCAGTGTGGCCGGGAGAAAAGAGCCTTGCTCTTTATCACCAGCTCTTATTTACATCAACCTATTCAAAAGACATGCTGATGTCTCTGACAGAAAGAACAACGCTCATGAGTGCGATGAAGCTCTTAAGCAAGACAAGAAACGCAGAAAACGGACAAAATCAGGAGTGACTTGTGTGAAAGAAGAACTGACTGCAGGCTGGAAGCGACCAGGGCTCTACTGCTCTGTGCCTTACGGACAGGATCTGCAGAGGGCCAAGGTGCGAGAGATGGAAACCCCCAGAAGTTCTCGGCAAAGATCTGCCCACACAAGAAGCAGCATCAACGTCATGGCAGCGAGAGGGCAAAATCTTAGTAACACACTTTTCAATAGATGCTGTTTAACCAATATGGCCTTTCATAGAAAGTCAAAAAAGCGAGAGGAATGCTGACAAAACATAATCACGACGTTTAGAAAGGGGGGGGAACACCTCCGGGAGGAATCTGCATTTTAAAGCCACCTCTGCTTGCCTTATGGAAACCGGGAAGAACAGCCTAGATAGTTGAAGACTCTCGTTACAGCAGAAATCTCCCATCCCAGCCAAATCCTGAATACTCACAGTCTGTGTTCACAAGGTGTTAACCCTTCATTCCTTCCCTTCATTAAACAGGAAGGCGGCCAACCGCAGGACTGCAAAATAAAGGGACCATCTTTGGGCACCGATACTCATTGACAGGAGGATCAATGCCTCCACAAGGCAGGGCAGAGCACACCATCATTACATACAGGCCACTCCACTCCTAAAGGAAAAATACATTATTTCTTCCCATTTCCTTTAAACTGAAGTTTCTCTTGAAATTTCTTTTTGACACAGAAAAGAAACTTCTGTTTAGTCAGAGTTTAGTTTATACCTACATACGTATTTGTGTGTGTATAAATATATCTCAAACCAGACTAGGACCCCACAAAAATCCTGTATGAACTGAGCATCATTGTGGATTTCAATGCAAATAAAGCATATGGAGACAAAGTCACTATATAAATGCAGACATTTTTCACTAACCCGTAAGTTAAATGAGAAGCAATGTGTCAGAGTAAGAACAGCTTTAGCTGAAGAACAAGTTCTGCCCATAGAAGTCTGAAATACGTTGAACTGGACTGTGGATCATTCAGAATACGTACCTGTCCATCCAGGTCAGTCATCCATCCATCCATCCAAACACCCTTCCACACACTGGTAAATAAGCAAATGACCAGCTCCCAGCATTGCTTTTGCTTATGAACAGAACATTTAGGATGAAAAGAACAATTCTGTAACATCCTGTACAATACATCATGTTTTTAGACCAAGGCTTCTCAGTTCAGTTGAAGAGATGCGGTGAGCTGAAGTTCTAGTAATTAATCCATACTTAGCACTACAGCAACCAGAATTCTCTTGCCAATTATGCACACGAAAAGTATAATCTTTATGTAATAAAAAGGACACTGCTGAAATCTCCACAAAACATGGGTTGAAACATTCTGTCTGGGTTTTTACTGTCTTTCTACAAAATAACAGCCAAGTGCTCTGTTCAGGATGAATTAAGTTGAAGGTACAAAACATTTTCAAACACTCTCCAAATTTCACCTTGCCACAGGCTGGACTTCTGTACTGATACTGTATAGGGAAGGAAAGCCCTGCTGAAAATACTCAGTACCATACTTGCTTGAAATATCTTTTTAAAGAGATCAACTAAAGCAGTTTAGTCCTTACAGAACCATCTTCTTCCTTTGGCTGTAAATATCCCCATGGTAACATGGATGGTATCAAGACAGACAAATGAGCAGAAGCAGAGGAGGCTGAATGAAATCCTTCAAATACAGAGTCTCCAGAAACAAAATGGGACAGGACAAGCCAATTGGAAAACATCCACCCTGAAAACCTTACCGCAACCGCTGCTTGGACTCCCCATCCCCTAATTGTTCTGATCTATTATCCATTCATTCTCTACAAAATTTTTGCTTTCAGTATTTTTAACAGACAAGAAAAATAGCACAGGTAATTCAGGGATATTATACATTCCTGGGACCTGAGTATGATGCAGTGACCCATTTGGACACTGTCCAGGACACAGACTGAGCTGGCAGAGGTCTAAGTTTTCCCACAAGGCAGCTGAAACCATGGCCAATCCACAGATCCTGGGAGTGTAGAGGTACATGATTTCTTTGGGAGCTTGACTCAACAGACTTCAAGATTTGCAACCGCAAAGATATATATTTTCAGATACGGACTTGCAGTTCTCAGGTGTGGAGCGGATGCCTTTTAATGTATGTGTGTTCACTGAAAGAGGTTAAGTGGCATTGCCATATGACTTACCATATACATAGCCAAAGTTGTCCGCGTAGATGGGTAACATTGCCCTAAACCGAGAGAAAGTACTTAGCGCTAACTCCCTGCATGTGCAAAACAAAGTTAAGGAAAACTAGGTGATTCATGTGAGGTCAGTGACCGAATGAGAGGGGGAAGCCAGGAGCTCAAACCACATTTCATGCTACTTCACTTTTAACATGATGTTTAAGAAGTTGTCCTCACCTATTCAAGTATTAAAGAGCACACAGATCTCCTTTGCTCCAAATCGTTTACAGGTTCCTTTAACAAAACAATTTTTAAGGTCTTCTCTTGCCTGTAAGCAGCAAGACTTTACCATTCACACTTTGAATGTCTAATAATTTGGTTTGTTTTCACTTTTATCAGTTTGAACAAACAGAAGTCTGAGCTTTTGCTCTGTTTTTATACACATACTCAGTTTCTGGATTTTGAGCCATGACAAGCATGTTTACTATTGCCCTATATTTCAGTTAAAAAAAAAAAAAGCACTTTAAACTATTTCTGTTGACAGTGGAGTGCATCATTTCCCCCCATCTTCCTTATAGAAGACATCTATACAATTGGCCCTGACTGCCACAGTTACAACCTCACAGTCTTAATAATCTCACATACGATAATTCAAAAGCAATTAAGATCCCAAAAGATTTCCTGGTAGCACCCTAATTCACACGGAGAAAGCAGTTTAGTTTAGTTCAACACAGGATCAAAAAATCATTATGAGCAGCCCAAATACACAGCCTCTCTGACCGAGGGACACAGTTCAGGTCTTTTGATTCCCTTCGAGATGATCTTGCTGTCAGTACCCTCTGCAAGACACTTTGGATGAAGGAGCATTCGTCTGCTACTTCAGATACTTCATGCTTTACCTCAGAGACCGGTCACACTTACTTAGCTTCTATTTTGAAAACAGACAAACTTACAGGTTTTTCAGTTTTATTGGATGCTTCCAACTTTATATCTAATAATATACAGATACTCGTTTTTCATTGTTCCATTCATATCCTCACATAGTTCAGCCATTCTGTCACATCAAAATAAAAAAAAAAAGCACAACTGAAATAAAATAAATTTGTAAGCTGGAAAAATACATTATAAACTTATATTCAAGAAACATTCTCTTTATAATTAAAAACCTACTTGCAATAATTAAAGTAGGATTTAAAGAAAAACTTGATTTTCATTTTTAAATAGGTGGCCTTTGTGTATACTTTTAATCATCTCATATGTACAACCCCAACCAGTATCTCTGCCTACCTGTGACAGAATACCTGAAACAAAACAAAAAGACACTGAAAAGGAGTTTTTAAACAAAAAAAAGATCGATATTCATTTTCCAGGAAAAATACAGTATAATCAGAACTTTAAACACATGCTTCCCTCATCGGTATTAAGGCCTAAGAGACAGATGTGCTTTAATAAAAGCAGACAGTATGAAGAAAAGTCCTTCCACTTTTCTCTTCAAATTCCTGTAACAGCTCATCTATTTCATTTTCCATGTCTTCTGTGTGCTGTATCTGGAAGAGAAAAAACACTAAGCAACTGGACTCCAAGGATACGATGTAGTTTAGAAAACTGTAATAATTCAACGCTTTTGGCTTACTGTGACATCTCAACCAGCGGGCTGTACCAAACAGTGCAGCACTGGGTGCTTTATTGAGATTCCCAGCATTCCCGAAGGTACATATATTCTGCATCACGTTTGTCTGCATATCCTTCCTTCTCCAACCCACTAAACTGGCACTTAACTAGTACTTCGATAAGTAGGCAACATCCAGATAGATAACAAATGGAAGCTTCAGAATAGCTACAAGCACACTGAACAGATGGCTAAAATTTCAAGTCCTTGAACCCTCTCAGGCTTTTTGAATCTGGAAAAGATTTAAGACCAGAATAGATCACACAGACTGGAGTAAAAAAAAAAAGCCTGTTGCCACCCTGGAACCAACTTGCACACTGTAAAGGGACACAGATCCTTTCTCTGTTCTCTTGACAGTTACATCAACTGTTTCGAGTGCAGCTTATTTCAGTCTTATTTCAAGGGCTAGGGCCCCTGAATATGGATGACAGAAGGCACCATTTTTTTTTCTTCCACATCATACACATAACAGGGTGGTACTATGAAATACACCTACATAGGATGTTTTTCAAGCATATTGTGATTCAGAATGCAACTCTGATGTTTAAATCCCAATTACAACTGCTTTTGAAATGGACGTTTTTGCCATAAAGAGTGTTTTGAGTATGGGCTCAGCTGTGTTTTAAGTAATGGCTACGTGTGGGGCTTTGCAATACTGCTTTTCATTTAAGCTATCAATGAATTGGGTTTGAATGCACACGCACAGAGTCCACTTCGGAAACCATGAACCTGGTTACAACTCATCTGTTTGCGGAACAGCTCCAAAAATAACCACAAGAATTTGGAAACTTATGTCTCTTGACATGGATTTTACTTAAACAACTTTTACAATATGTAGCATCTTTAAGGAGTACTAAGCAAACCCCAACTTCTGTGCAGTCAGGAGGTGCAAGGTACCCGTAGGCAATGAGCCCTCTCTACTTACACACTGGCAGAGCTCACAGATAAGGAAAGCACCCAGCGTTGCCTCCTCATGGTTATCCTGAATGTCCACATTGATCACATGTACTGGCTGACATGTCTCCTGCTCTCTGGAATTTAAATCTATTTGAAAACAAAACACATGTAACAGCGAAACTTTGGGTGGAATGGTATCATATTTTACACAGAGTATTCGTAAGATTTAAAAAAAAAAACACACATAGACATTGTCCACCTCTGCCTTCTCCAAACTTGTTTTTAGAAAATCGTTTATTTAATATTGTCTTAAACAATAGTCCCTCTTATTTCAAAACCAAGAGATGGATTTTGGAAACAAAAGGATTCAGTTTTGTGGAAGGGTCACGACAGTTTTGCCCTGGTCAAGAAAAGCCACTGCTCACCTTACTCTGACTGTCTTTAAAGACCAAGATCAAGATTCTCAAAAGTCAGGAATGATTTCAGGTTTCCTCACCTGGAGAGTTTTCAGCGCCCGTTTTTTAAAAAAAGCACTGTACATCCAACACTCTGAAAGTTAAACTGCAAGGTGAACTCCTACAAGTCAAGCACTGATAGTCACATTAGAAAATTCTAGCTTTAATGTGTTCCGCTTGTTAACAAGGGGTGAAAGGGGAAAAATAAAACATCCTTTTCCTACTACCCCCCGCCCCGTATTATTGTTATGCCTCTCTAACATAACCTTCCTATTACACACACTGTTTTCAAGCTACAACTTGTTCTCTCCTAATCCCATCCTACAACTTCATTTTGGCAAACTTGTTGAGGCCTCCATTTTAAAATATTTCAGCTTTCCCATCTAGAGCCATCTGGTAGCACCCAAGCCGCCTTCCTTTTGTCAGTCCATTATGAAGGGCTTTGCCATGAAGTTAGAGATGCACAACTGCAAAATGAGCAAGTCGTTGCTTTTCACCTCTCTTCCTCATGATACTCACCTAAAACATTAGAGTGAAAGCTGCTCTCTGTGCGAGACATGCTGAACTTGCTGAAGATCCATTCAAGTACCAGGGCAGTTGCTGTCATAACTTACCAATACATTTCAAACACTTCATTTAAACATTCAGAGCACTAATTGCTCAGCTTGCAGAAGCCCAAATGTATCGTGCTCTGTATTGCTTGTGACGTGACCACTGAGGACTGAAAAGGCAAGGCAACAGCCTTCTAAATGATGTGTATGATACTAATTCAGTTGGTTGGTCTTTCAATGTAAAGGAGACACCTTAAACCTCATGTAAGCCCGTAACCAGCATTTCCAGAGAGAGGCAGCGTTCTCAGCCCAGGAGCTAACTGAGTCATCGCTGAAACCCCATGACTTTCAGTGAGTTCACACCAAGCTTGCCGCATTGTGTTCATGCGGAACCCAATCCCCCACCGAGATTCTTCTGGCATATCTCACTTTGACTCATTTAAGGGCAAAGCCATAGCATGTTTGCAGAGTCTTAACCACATTCAAGAACAGTTTCTCCACCTGTACAGGAGGTATTTATTGTGGATAAACTGTTGGTAGGTCACAGGAAGTCTTCTGCAGAGAAGGGAAGGAAGCATAAGGAAGACAGCTTAGACTCTGTTTCTCCATCAACCCAGGGTGAAAAAATGCTCATCACATACAACTTGCTAGTTTTCTAGATCCATGAGCATTTTCAAACCAAAAATGTATTTGGGTTTCTCCAAATGCTTGCTATTTCCTTATGTCAGCCCTTAAAATTGCTATACATACACATTCTGTGTAGCTGCCAAAACCAGCATCTTTTAGAAATAAGTATTCAGCCATCACTTCTCTGGTACATAAAGTCTACGTCAACGGACTGCGAGCTCTTTTCCGTGCTGGTGTTCCAGCAGCAGTAGTCAGAGGAGACAGATGTTTCTCGATTTGTGAAGGACTTCAGGGAGAAGGGGAAGGAAAAAAAAAAAAAGGCACTCAAAGTTAACTTGGTTTATCAGCTCAAGGTCCTTACCTTCTACTACTTGATCATAGACTCTTTCTTCACACGTTAGGATCAAATCAAAAACATCTTTGCAGTTCTGGAATCTTTCTGGTCGTGGCTTGATTCTCTTATTTCTGTCCAACATGTGTAAAATCCCATTCTGTGTGTATCTGAAGTTGCTTGAGTTAAGTACCTTCACTTTAAGAAAAGTCACGTTTTTGAGCAAATGACCAGTACAAGTTAAATTATTACTCTATCTTTAAAATAAGGTTCTTTCTGTTTGCAAATATAAATATCAGTGACCACTAAATAGATTCCTAAGGTGGCAGCATGATCCCCATCGGGGTGATTCATTCAGCTTCTGGTTTTTAGAGACCTGTCACTGTCATTAGTACAATGACAGACAAGCTTTAAAAGGCCCTCATAAGAGCAGAGCTCCTCAGAAGGACAATTTTCCCTGGGCAACTATTTTTATATCCATAATGCTTAGAACACACAGACTTAGCTGTTTGCGTGAGCAGAATGTCCTACATTCACTTAAGTCACTGCCCCTCACTCCAGGGGCCTCTATCTTGAAAGTCAATTATATGGTGTTTCTAGTGTCAACTGCACATCTGCATGAAGCCCTACTCAGGCCTCAGGTTTATGCAACTGAACTTCCAAAGTTAAATAAATCACAGAAGCATAATCCCTTAAAATATCCCAAGATATATAAATGGGAATGAAGAAAAACAGTGACTTTACGCCTGTCAGAACTTCAGTCGCTGTGTGAAAGGAATCTGTTATGCTGCTTGGTAGCTATATTTATGCTGGTACTGTAACCTTCAGGCTCAAGTTTACACCCCGTATCCCCCTTTCAGACAGGATTCACTAATCCCACCGTCTTCTCAGCCTTCTGGGACGTGCAGTTTCATTAGGAGCACACCAGGGTTGACTGTCACATAGATCTGCTCACTCGACTTAAGACCAAACTCCCTCTGAAGGCAAAAGTTTTATGGGTAAATTAGGAATACCGGGAAAAGTTTGAAATAAGAAAGCCTGGAAACTGATGCATCTCTTCCTTGCTTTGAAGCAGCAGTATTTTTAGCCATCTAGGCATATATTTTTAAATTAAAATAGCAGTAAGGATAACAGCCTATAATTTCTTGAGATAGCAAGAGGATTCTGAGAAAAAACATTTCCATCATTAGTAGCAAGTACATAAGAGGCTGCCTTGGCTTATTTCCTTGTTGACGAGGTCATATACATCCCTAGCAGGTATCTTAGCTCTTTTCAGAGAATAGCCCTAACCTTTTGTTAAAAAATACCAACAACTTTCTGTCTCCCTTTTTGCAGTTGCCCTCTGGTATCTCAAGTCCTACTGCCCTAGGTAGCCAGATCTGCACCTACTAATCTATAAGCTTCAAAGTGTTCTTGAACAGTTTCAAGCAAACAGGCCTCCAAAGCTTTTAAGTCTTTCAAGTGTTTACGCTATATTAAAAATTAAACCCATCTTTCTACCTTTATATGGAAAATACGTTCAGTTCTTATGTGTCTGCATCACTGCACTTTTAACTACTTAAAGAAAATTTTAATTTTGAATCACAGACTGAATAATACTTTATCACAAATATGTTGTCAATTCTCTCTCAGCCAACTAACTTCTACTGTATTTCTTTTCTCCAGATCACCCCCAAGCCTTTTACCACTCTTCTTTCCCCAAAAGATTTCTCCCTATATAATTAAAGAATTGTCCTTTATAGCCCAAAGCTATCTCACAAGCAGCTCTCATAGACCAGCACCCACTGCTTCCTTGCGGCACCCCTGTAAACTCTCCTTGGGTTTGTCACGCTTGGAAAAAAAATCCACTTCAACGTGGCCATTTCAGATCTCTGGTTATTTGTGAGGCAGGAAAACGACTGCCACAGTCATTTTCAAAATACTTGTAAACATCAGGTTGTGTTCCTTTGTTCAGTTTGAAGGTGAGCCCTTTCTGGGCTCTACAGTCCTCATTTCTACGTCATGCAGTTCAAGGGGAAAAAAAAAAAAAAGGTCCACAACATCCCACACACTTTTTTGGGGTTTTGTTTTTTGGTTTTGTGGGGTTTTTTTGTGTGTGGTTTTTGGGTTTTGTTTTTTGTTTTTTTTCCTCCTTTCTAGCATAAAATGTTGCTGGCATCTGTCCCCTAGCTTTCCTGACTGAGCTTGGAGACAGAATTACGCATATTCAAAAAACCCACACAGTCAAGCTTTCTGCTTCACACAGTCGAGCTTTCTGCTGCCAACTTACAGCTATTTTTTTCCGAGGGTCCATCTGCCTATAAAAGGAGATTGAAACAAGCAGTTAAGATTCATGACAGTTTCGTATTTGGTTGTCTGAAATCTTTGTCACCTGGAAAAAAACCAGGATACCATCCTTTCAGCAAGCAGGGGGATGTGATCTGCATGATTGTTTTCAATGCATAATCATAACCCAGCTTCTTTCTCTTCATGAGCTCAGGTGAATGCAAAGATATTACAACTTATTAATGGTTTCCACTACACTGCCAGATGTTGAATCATTTAAGTCAGACTCTGCCTTCCTTCCAAGAGATTTCAACTCCATGCTCCCTATCCTATGCATCTCTGCTCTTTCTTTCCAGCAGTCACTTCTTCAGAAGGTACTCACAAAATTTTCACCTGGCTTTCAGTGCTATTATGTTGTCTGGCCATAGCAGCCTTCTTAACTCTACCATGCTCAGAAAGTCAACAAAACGTGCATACGTTTATCTAAGAGGCCTTCACCTACTGCAAACTATTGGTATAGTAAATCCATCACATTTTTACAGCGAGTCCAATTCAGATATCATGTTTATTGGAATAACTATGCTAAACAGATCCACAATATAATGAAATTGATGCATGACAACTCAATAATGGAAAGACTTGATATAAAAAGGAGGTGTTGCAATACAAGTTGAGTTTTTCCAACAGACAGCATTGTTGCGCATTCTTATGGAGATAGCTATAACCAGCTATTTCTATTGTTACTGACTGTGCATTCTCTCCATTTACTTAAGGATATCCCATGATAATGCATTGATGAAGATACACATAGATTCAAAAAAAAAAAAAAAGAAGTTGCGTACGTGTGTGCTTAGATTAAACCCCTATAGCTTTCATAGCTTCTGCTAACCAAATTTAAGATTCCTGTCAGACACCAGAAATGCCTTTTCCCACCCACTCGATAGGTCTCTGCCCCATACACACAACTAACCATGCTTTACCCCTCTGATCAGTTTGTCAGTAATTTGTTCACTGACAGGACCCAGAGACTACTTTTAGCTATGAGCACTAACTGAAAGCCGCATACAGCCAAGACAGTACAGTCTCTTCTCCCCTTCTTCAGCACGGCGTAGCCAGCAGTGACTGTACTTAACAGACCACACAGCCATCAGTCTGGTTTTGTTCAGAAACCTGGATTGTGGACAAAGCAAGAACAAGCGGATTCTACCAACTGCCTAAACATTAGCAGGTAATACTGATGCATTCTCTCTCTCTCTCACACTGTTTGCTTTTGCAGATGTCCTTTCATGCAAGTGTTTGCTTTGAACTGGGCACTTCAAACTTCAAAACCTCTGGCCAATATTATGTGACAAAAGGATGGACATAGGAAGTCATTCAGTGCAACAATAACGAAGACAAGACCAATGATCCACAGTATCATCTTTAAACATCTTTTCTCCCCACGCCAGGCAGTTTAAAAATTCTAAAATACTGAAATATTGCTGAGTTTCCAAGAGTCTCTAGTGAAAGCAATTACAATTAAAGATACTGTATAAACTATTCTCTCCCAACACTACTAATAGTCAGGAGTTGTTTTACAGAACTGAAAGTCTATTTGCTGGTTTTACCCATCTTCCACTGCTGCACTGAAGTGACTCTTTAATAAGTCCACTTCGTAAAATATGAGTAAGTCTTGGTAGAAACTGTGAACAGGAGCTTTTGTTAAGTGAAACCGGCATATGGGAGAACATCACAGAATAACACAGATAATCCTGAGAAGCAGAAGTGTTTTCTTGTTCAATATATTCTCATTGTTATCCTCACATATTGATGTGATTAATTCCCTGCTCTCACCTCCCCAAACCTGCACTGTATGTCATAAAACCTACAATGAGGCTAAAATTAAAAAAAACGAAAGTTTTCCCTACCCCAGAATACTATTTTTCAATGTCCATATACACAACTCCCATGCTGAAAGATAACCGTAACAATTGCATTGCTTTCACAAATGTCCACCTTCCTGTTTTGCTGATAGCGTTTCTTGTGTAGCTGAATAGAGTTGCAAAGATTTGGTCGTTACCAGACTATGAAATTCAATAAAATGTAGATCGCTGTTTTTGTTAGGAAATTGGATCCTTACAAACCTGAAAGATATTTCTGGCTATAATTTCGTGAGAACTATTGTTGGAAATTTATTAATAAAAAAAAATCTAGGGAAAAAAGTGCATGTAGCTTTTTCAACATCAGTCAGCTCCTTAACACTATGATGATTATCTGTCAGAGGTCAACTGGGTAAAACGTGTTAAAAAAGCAATAGGCAGACTTAGAACAATGACAACAAAATTTTCTCCTATGGATGCTACATGTTATTCCATTCAGGTACTACAAAAATTAACAGGGAAAAAAACCCCACCAGCCTCAAGCACATGCTCTTGCATATTTACATTCTCTGCTAATTATGTTTTCCAGGGTCTGGTCTGTATTTTTGTAACTGTTAAAGTTGTACTGAATATGCTCCTACTGTTATATAAAAATCACTCATGGTGTAATTAATTTTTTTTTAATGACTCAAATGTTAGTGCCATCTCCCCATCTATGCCTGTTAACAATACACTCATTCCTCTCTTTAGCCATATTCGAGAACAGCAGTTATTCCAAGTCCTATTTCAGAAGCCAACTTTTTAGGAAACTAAAGACGTTCTTTAGAACAACTTGTACATCTGTCTCTGAATTGTTAAAGGAAGTCTAGGCATTCTCTTCTTCAGACCAAACAGCAGAATCCAGTAGGAAAGTGACACAGAGTTTCTCTGCAGGGATAGACAGTACTCTTTTTTTAAAAAAAAAAAATAGTTCTTGGATAAAATATGACATATTCCCTAAAGAACTACACACTGAGACTAATTCCCCCAACACATCACTATTAAAGTGGACTGCCAAAACCTGAAAGAGTACTAAATAATCTGCATTA